ACCTCAAACGAAGGGGTGATCCCCTGCTTTGGAGACGGGACAGCCTTTGCTTGTATGGAGGGACTTTGATCTCAAGGAAGGGGACATATCTTTTGTATGGCGCATGCTGTACATACCGGGTCACCGAAGTTGACCCTGAAATTGCGGACGGATTCTCCTCAAGAGTCAGAAACGGCCAGGGCATCAAGAATTGCCCAATGAATGCCTTGCAACAGCTTGACACATTGACACCACAATATCTGAATCCACGATATTTCGGGCCTTTCGGATTGGGTTCCTAGGTGCTTCTGGGCTGTGATCCCCTTCAGCACCCCCTTTCAGTGTTTTGCCCCTGCCCAGAACCCCTGGAGCGCGGCACCCAAGAGATGCCGGTGTCTTTGGGGGTGCTCGTATCCATCGTGGTGCCGCTGCCGCCACCGCTGCCACTGCTGCCGTGTTGTCTCTGGTACGTAAGCAGTGAGTGATTTTGGACATTGACACCGGACTGATTTTAAGGAGTTGATGCGACCACTTGCAAGGGGAAAGGGTAGGTTTTGAGCAAGTGCAAATCAGGCAATGATGTCCGAACATCCGACTGGGGTTTGGCCAGTTGTCACACAATGATTCCCGTCGCCATCATCCCCTGATATGAAAGGGTCTCGATACCAAACAAGCTTTTGGGGTGGTGACCCATCGTGATTGTTGGATGTTGGCAGCACTTCCTACAGTGGAGATCCTTGTTTCTTTCTGTTTGTCCATAGCGGGAACGAAGAGGAACCCTGCAGATGTGAGATGACTAGTCAGAAACCATGGCAATGTGCGACTGGCTGTGAGCCTGTCACCGCTACCCCTGGAATGTTGGCTTCCCGGTGAGTATGTTGGGGCCTCTTAAGCAGGGTGTTGACTTCCAGCTTCTTCCAAACCGCTGCATTTAAGAAGAGCCGCATGGCTTAGCATCATTCTGCGTCAGCTTGACCTGATAGCTGAGAGTAACCTGGATGCTGGTACGCTTTTGATGGTGCTTTTTTTGATCTGTTGCTTGCTTGCCTGGTCCAACAAATGCGAAGTGCAAAGTATGGCCACGAATGCAGGATTGTTTGTTTTTGTTTGCTGACTGCAAATGCCGGATCAGCAAACGGGGCAGGGTTACTTGCACAGCAGGCTTTAGTACACAGGCTCTTTTCTCAGTTAGGTTCATATTTAACAAACTCAGCGTTAGTCTTGGCGTGTGACTCGCTGACGTCTTCGACATACCAATCGGCGAGCGCCACTCAGGGAGGACGACATGGCGGGGTCGCAATGGGCCTGCCCAAGGTGGCCGTGGGAACTCCCGCACGGATTCGGCACAGATCGCTCAGTTTGCGGGTTGATCGCCGGGGATTGATATGTACATACGTTGGGGATGCTGCCATTGCCCTGTAGTTTGTCAGACATCAGCCCAACGAAAACACCAACCCCTGATAAGCATGCTAGTAAGAGCGTGAGATGAGAGAGATGCACAGCCCTGTTGCTCAGTGAAGAAAATGGTCTCTAGAGTCGAATTTGGTCTACGCATGGCAAGACTTCAAAGGTTTTGGCTGAGGGTTACTGGGCCCAAGAACCCTTGCAACCGGACAACATCGCCCCTGATCCGAATGGGTCATGATCCGTGTTCGTTCTGAAACCCCGAGAGTGAGTCAATCGCCCACACCCCAGCGACCTTTGACATGCGGTCTCCTCGGCACTGGCTTCAGACAGACATGCATGACCTGCCATGAAGAGAAACAATGATGTCTCTCGCTCACTCGCTCACTCGCTCTCTCGCTCTCTCGCTCTCTTGCTCGAGCGTCTTGCGTTCGAGCGCAATATGTATTTAGGAAATCTGCCATGGCAGACTGGAATCCCCAGGTCAGCAAGGATCATGCGGCGGTGGGCAAGGTGGTCTCAATTGACCACGGTCGCTTTTGGCGGTGTGTCCACTGGGCCCGTGGAAGCAGTCGCCTACCTTCAAGTACTTGGCAAGCCTGTTTGAGGTGTTCTAAGTTTCAGGGTGAAGGTCAATGCTGTTCTTGTGTCAAGAGGGCTGCAGACTGTTGACAAGTTTGCCCTGAATGCCCCAGAAATGAGGACGGGAAAAGGCCACATGAGATCGCTGATACTTCCCCATCACCGGAGCATAGACCACTTGAGGGCTTCAGCTTCTCTTCGGCCTTCTGTACCTGTTTTTTTTCACCAGCGCATCCCGCATCCCGCACCTTGCGGCCAGGTGTACACTCAGGAATGAGCAAATGCTGTCAGAGTGTGCAGGGCTCGGAACAACGGCCATCTTGAGGGCTTCACTTTTTCGGTTCCGGTTGTCGTTGGCGCACCAAGTACGTTCTGAGGTGCCACATTTGCAAACAGCGTAGCAACACGGGTCGCAGAAGGAGCCCAGCACATACATGCTTGGGAGTCCATCAATCCATCGGCCTGCTGCCTCAATGCAAAGCGAGCAATCAGCCAAGGCAAAGCGAGTAATCAGAATTGTTGCAACGTGTGGCTGCCGACACCGCCCTTGTCAAACGTAGGTCGCGCATTCTCCTTGAGAATGCTGCAAACAGCCTCACAATGCAAGTACCCTTCCTTGAAACATGGAAGCCAACAGACAGATTTTGGAGCACAGCCGGACACCTTTTGAGCTGGTTCATCTTTGCTTCCCTTCAATGATTGAGCCCAACAGGGTCTGTATTCCTAAAAGATATGCCATGCTTCGTTGTGTTCAGCTGGGCACGATGGAAGCTTAAGTTGCGATGTGTAGATGAGACACTCCACAAGAGACCGCCATTTCCACGCACCAGGGATCAATCGCTCTCACATTTCAGTTGTTTTTCACCAGCCTGCCAGCTGTGCCTTTGCCCTCGCCGGCTGCCCTTTTGCCAGAGCCACTGGGGTCCAGCTGAGGGCAAGCGTCAAGCGCGAGAGTTCGCATAGACTATGCTTTGATTCAAAGGTTGGTATGCTTGATGAGCCACTTTGAAGAAGACGCCATGCATCCTGCCGTACACTTGAAAAGGAGCCCTTGTTTTGCGCAGGAGCCATTGAGCCCAGACGGCTTGCCACGGAGGGTTCGAGAGCCCAGGTGCAGCTTGCGGGACCAACAAGCAAGCTGCCGCCATGTGGGCGCGGTGCCCGGAGTTCGAGACCAACCGACCGGATTTTGGTCGGCCACTGGATGGTCCCGCAGGTAAGGAAGTGACTGTTAGAACGGAACATGGAATCTGGTTTGGCTGTATGAAGCATGGAGGTGAACGCAGCTGGGGACAACCAGACCTTGTTTGGCCTTGAGACGTGCTGTAGCGAGATCTCGACAGGGCTGGAACAAAGAGTTGCAAAGCTTCTTTTTTTGGCATTGGTCATGCCCTTTTGCTCATAGGCTGGCGGGCCAGGCAGTTGGGGGCATGGGCGTGAATTGCCTGAGGGGCCAGGTCTTGCCCGGCCAACACGGTTCAGGAGTTTGGGCCATGGAGTCCTTCTGGCTGTCTTGCGCAATGTTACCACTCTGGGCGCTTGATAGAAAGATCACCGCAGCTGTCGGAGCAAAGAGTATCATCGTCTGAATCCTTTTCAAGACAAGGCAAGCGTGCGAACGGATTGGTGTTCTTGCTGTCGGCAAGCTGAGGCTGAGCCTTGTCAAACGCATATTGGAGACGCATGGCCCGCCACAGCACCGAGTTGGGAGCATTCTGACAGTGCCAACACGGAATCGAGCTGAACTCTCAACTCTCAAGGTGCCAGCCTGAATCACCTGAAAGCACACCTTTGTACTTTGTACAGAGGACGGAGTTACCCTTTCTGCAGTAAATGTGTGAACGGGGTGGTGAGCGGGTGTGCTGCACTTGTTTATCAGTGGTATGGCTTACAAGGTGTTGTTCCTGCAGCCACCGGCGCTTATCTCGAAATTGGACGATCCCTCTAGTGGTTTGTAAAAGTCCCTCAGCTTTTTGGAACAAGTCAGGGAACAGTCGCGTCCTGCCCATCGAGGAAGGGGAGTGAGTGCAGGGGGTGGTGGCAAGATTGGGCGCCGCTGCTCGTTGTCGACCCCCTTTTTTGAGATCCAATTATGACTCTTCTGCGTGGAGCCCTTTGATCCACCCGAACAAATCTTGGTGGTTGTTCTTGATCGTTTTGGCCTTTTGCGATGCTATGGAGTAGCGCAAGGCTACTCGGACAGAAAAGACCTGGTCGGGCCATTAAAGTTGGGGCGGCTTAAATCCCCCAGGTACCACCGGTACTGCTCACGCCGTGCCGTGGAGACAACACTCGACTCTTCCTTGCTGCAGTTCTCGAACCAAATTCAGCACTCCTATTCTGGAAATCCTTTTGCCTTAGTGCCATTCTCTGCTCCGTGCTTTTATCTTGACTGCTGGCGCTTAGGCGGAGTTTCCGCCGCTGGGTAGCTAGCTGCCAGGCGCATTGGGATGCTATCGAGGGAGATTGCTTGTTAAAAGGCGGATGGGCAGACGCTTTGTGCGTGTGTAGGTAGGTGCATGTGTGCAGGCGACATCTCAGACTCAGTTACTTGGTTGGCAAGTAGGAGGGAGATCCCGGTGTAGAAACCCGGACCATCGGGGCACAGTTTGCAGGACACCCGGTCCAATTCGGCAATCAACGACAGAACGTCGCAAATAATAATGGCACAGCTACTAGTAGCTGATCGTTTGTCCGATTCTTGACTTCTGCAGCCTTCTTTCCCGGGTACACCATCCCAGAAGCTTTTCGTTGTGTGGACCTGTTTCCAACACCTGAATTGTCTAAATAAGAGGGTTCAGGACAGGGTTATGTGAATATTACCACGATAAAACTAGGTGAAGGTAAAATGGGTGCTCTCCTCGGGTTGTCGTTTGGAGCTTCCAAGGTCTTGGAGCCAAGACCAGTTGTTTTTTGGTGCCGCCCGGACTGACTGAAGGCCAGAGCAGGAATTTGGAAGAGCCTCCATTTGCTCAGCCTACGGCAACATGGGAATACACCATATGTTCAGGTCTGCACAGAATAATGTTGGACTCTGTTTGGTGTGACCCCCCCCCCCCGCGGACCAGTGGAACCAGTCGGCGGGACTCTCTTTAGGGAGATCCTGGGGGATCTGGGAGGGACAGTACTTACTTTAGTATTGCCAATTCTACTTTAGTATTGCCAAGGCCCCCTCTCAGATTCCCAGTGCTGACTTTAGTATTGCCAATTCTACTTTAGTATTGTCAATGCTGACTCTCAGATCCCCAGTACTTACTTTAGCATTGCCAATTCTACTTTAGTATTGCCAAGGGTCGTTTTTGAGCAACCCCCGAAACCAGTTGGACACTAAAGAGGACCCCAAAACAGTCGCATTAAAGAGGATCTGGGCCTCTTGTGGGCACCCCCCTTTGTGTGACTGTTTGCCCGCATTTTTTTTGTCAAGAAGTTATCTTAAATTTGATGGTTTGGGAACAACTTGCAAAATCGATTTCCTAGATCTCAGGCCTTTAACCTTTGAGCTGGGGAGAGCTTAGGATGAGTCCCCTTCTTTAAAAGTAAAAGGCTGAGGCTTTGGTTTTCAGTTTTCAGCAACCCCGAAACCACTGGACACTAAAGAGGACCCCAAAACAATCGCATTAAAGAGGATCTGGGCCTCTTGTGGGCACCCCCCTTTGTGTGACTGTTTGCCCGCACTTTTTTGTAAAGAAGTTATCTTAAATTTGATGGTTTGGGGACCACTTCAAGGCTCAGAAAAGCTCAACAGGAGCTACCAAGGCTTAGCAAGTTTAGCCTGAGCCCGAGCAAATCTAGAAAGCGAAGAAAGAAGCTCTGCGTTAGAAAAAAAACTTGCCACAATAGCGAACCGTTAAAACAGTCACAGGATTCTGAATTAGGAAAAAAATCTACAATAGCGAGGACCAATAATAAAGGAGGTCCAACATCAATGCAACTACACCTTTCGATGTCTTCTGTCAAGTCCTGGCATACTCCATACTATCGGGTGCCTGCATGGGATATCAGCGTGTAGTTTCTACTCAGAGAAACGTCGCACTGACACAGTCATTCGTTCATGACGGACTGCTGGCAAACCACGAAGCACTGCCAACACATTCGTTTCTTCAAGTGCCGCTGATTTTTGGTGCCAGCGCTTGGTTTGCAGCAAGGAACTTGAGCCAGCTTTGTCTTCCGGATTGGAGCTGACAAGTTCAGCTTCTTGCAGAAAGCACTGCAACGCTGAGCCTGGCTCTGGAGCAAAGTGAAGTTTTTCTACGGAAGCCTTTTGTTGTTGCGCAGCCAACATTTGACATTTCATGCAGAATGTCAGAATGTTCAGACAGCATTGTTTCATTGCTGTCGTAGTTTTGCAACTACAGACGACGATGCCTGGGATGGCAACCATGTCCCTACTTTAGGCAGATAGGGTAGCATCCAACGTGCGTTCAGATTCGTATCCATTGTACCCCAGGAAAGAGATTCTCATGTATCCCCACCCAATTTAGACCGCATTCAGGATCTGAAATACTCTTTTGATTTCCGCACTGCAAGCACGTCATGTGACAACTGCAGAGAGCAGGTTGTGGGGGTTCGCAAGGTCGTCCAGAGCTCTGCGGCCCGGTTGCTCAGTCGCGCACGCATTCAATCGCGGGCCCGGCTGGGTGTGCGGATTCGCTTCGACACCTTCTCCGATGGCAATTGGTGCCTGAGAAAGCGTCATTTTCGATGTATTACCTTGCTGCTTGGAGTTGCCGCTTTACAAGATGTTACAAGCACCCTTTTCAGCCAAACCCAAGCTTGCGCACGCTGTTTTATTTTGTGATAGGTCCTCATTGAATATTTCTCGCGTTGGAGTGTTCGAAGGCCCTTGAGCTAGACTGTCCAAAGGGCAAAACGGTCGCATTTGACCCTACCTCAATCTCTGTCGGCTGTGACCCTACCCACGCTGGGGTAGGGCCAAATGTGACGTGGAAGTGCTTCCCTCGTGCAAAAACCAGCGATTCCCGGTGTTGCAAAATGTCTTTTGCGGGAGCCTAGTGGGCATGTTGAACTGTTGAGCACCACGTGGTTGTGTCTTTTTCGAATGTACTTTTTGGTGGTTTCAAAGGGGAGCCAAAAAGCATCAAAAAGCAAACCAACATTGTGGGTGCTTCCCTGAAAAAAGACCCCCCCCCCCATGTGGAACTCTTTGTTTTCGACATTTTAGTAGAGCAACCCGGTTAAAGAGCAGGGCTGGGCTGAAGCCCCCCCCCCTCCTCCCCCTGTGTTTGGTTCTCAGACCAATTGATCTCCCGCAACATTTGGCTCAAGGCCCCTTTTGTATATCATTGCATCATTCATGATCGCGTGAAGCAAAAGAACCTTAGCAGGCCGCTTACAGGATTGTCCACAAGACAATCTACCAGGGACCAACACAACGACCTCTACTACCACAGGGTACCAGTTCCCTTCGGGGATAGGCGCCTGGGACAGTGGGCGCGGAGCGGGTTTTCCGCAGAGATCCAAGGGAAGTTCACTTGATGGAGAAGGCTTCATGGAAGCCTATTCAAGTATGGCCAAAAATCCAGGCTATACGGAGGAAACACTAAATTTATCGATGACCGCCAAGCAGCCGCCATCGTACGACGGAAAAGTCAGCTGGTTCAGGTATGAAGAACTCGTGGACGACTGGGTGGAAGCACCCAAGAGAGGACCTCTGCTCAAAAGCAGATTAACTGGTGATGCATATATGTACAAGGCGGTCCTCCAAAACGAGAAGGCAGAACCAAGAGTTCCTCATTTTTACCTCAAAATTCGAAATCCTTCTTATGAGATTGAAGGCAGCATGGATGGACTTGATGCCCGTTTTCACGGCACAGCCCCCATCAAATCGACAGTCCGTACAGGACGCAAATGCAAGAACAATTGCTCGACATCAGCAAGCAGCCGGTGTTCGAGCACCGCCTCCAGCCCTGCTCAATGAGGACGATCCGACAGTCCTCAGACAGTATATCCAAGGAATGCAGGACAGACAGCGGGACGCATTTCCCTTCGAGGATAATCTCATTGCACAGTTTTTCATTATTCAAAGTGAGCTGTCAGATCAGCAACAAGAGAGACTGACAAGTGCAATGTCATTGAGAAACATCTCACTAGAAAACTACTCCTATGAGATGCTGAAGACGCACTACCATGAACTCTTCATCACGACGAGGACATCAATCCAAGATCCATCCATCCGACCTCAAGGAGGCAACCGAAGCAACACATTCTTCATCATCGAACAAGGTGAATACGAAGGAGAAGAAGGCTTCTGGGTTGAGGATGAAGAAGGACTTGAAGGATTCATGTCAAACAACGATGAAGAGACGTTCTGGGTCCTCGAGGAGAATGATGCACAAGAAGAAACGTGGGTCATAAGCAAGAAAAGTGTCAAGTTCAAGAAGAGAAAAGGAAAATCCAGGAAACAAAAAGGGCAGTCACCAACGAGGTGGCTTTAAACCCTTCAGAAAAAGCGGTTCTGGCGGAAAGGCCAATATGGCCAACGAAAACTATGATCCCTACGACCAGGCATATTGGGGAAAAGGCAAAGGAAAGAAGGGAAAGAAAGGAAAATCAAAATTCCAATATCCCTATGATGGAAACAAAGGTTATCCATCCTATGAGAGTGGCAAAGGAAAGAGCGGACAGGAGAAAGGAAAATCCAAGACGTTCGCAGCCACCGCACAGAAGACGGAGGAGCAGCCCGCCATCCAGCAGACTGCACATAGAGCCTACCTATGCCGGTTGGACAGACCAAGACTGGGATCAATCATGGACATGGAACGAACATGGCTGGTACTCATCCCATGAGACATCCAGCGCAGGACAAGCGTTAATGGCATTCCATGATGCATATGAGCATCCTGGGAAAAAGGCCATCCACGAGAAGCTGATCCAATCAGATACAGTTTCAGAACACAATCTGTCCGTCACAACAAATCACAGCCTTCTGGCAACAAAGCTGATGGCGCCTGTCATCAACCCTCAGCACAACCCGACCTATGCGATTCTGGACAATGGATGTACCAGATCTATGGGCAGCTGGCATGCAATCCAGCGTTTTACTCAGGCCATCGAACCAATGAAGGACATCATCTCCTATGAGTACATTCCGGCCGAGACCAAGTTCACTTTTGCAAACGGAGAGACCGCCAGGGTAAATTGGACCCTGCATCTTCGATATCACACAACTCCTCCATGCAGTACCAACATCGACGTCCTTGAACAAGGAACTGTACCAATCCTTCTCAGCATCAGCCAGATGCGGAACCTCTACATGACCATCGAGCACACACCTCAATGTGACAAGATCACATGCAAAGCCTTTGGCATGAACCGTCAAGCAGTTCCGGTATCCGGTGCAGGACATGCGCTCGTCGATCTCGCTGGAGTTGCAAGAGTGAAGGCGCATGGAGAAATTGCTCACAAGACCCTCA